GGGCAGTGGATGGGCAGAAAGAGCTGATGGAGTTCTGGCAGAAGCAGAAGAATGTGCTAGGGTCGGTAAGTGGTCGATGGTATCACCAACACCTTTGTCGCTGGCTTCATCGTTCGACCTCGCGTCGTTGTTGTTGATTCCTGCATTGACTTTGGAGGAGTCGAGAATTTTCCTGGGCAGAGCGCCGAGAAAAGGAAAAAGGTGAGCAGAGAGGCAGAGCAGAGACGGGCAGCCAGGAGCGGGGTGAAAACCACGGCAGCAGGAGGTACTTCGTACAGACACTGGCAAGACTGGGCAAGAACTGATCACAGATTACATCAATGAGCGAAAAAGCAGCAACAGCGGGCGAGAGGGTCGCGTGGTGGAAGGTGATAGGCGCCCAGAAGGTGATTCTTTCCTTGGCATTTCTTGGCGCTCTCACCGTCTGGTTGGCTTATCTAAGGATTTGAGGTAAATTCCTCAATTCCTCTTCGTCCACGAACTGAATTTGATGGTTTTTGAATGTCGAGTTGGCGTTGATTTGTTTGTGATTCTCAATTGAGTTGCTATAAGATGAGATGGCAGGTGAAAAAAACTCACGTTATACTCATCTCAAGTGTGTCTTGAGCACTGAGGAATGGACGGTGAGTTTGGGTTGAAGAGTGAGTGTGAGAGTGAGGTACCTAACCTGAGAGGGGGGATGGTGGGGTTGGGGATGACTAACCAGCCTGGAAACTACCTACCTTAAACTGCGTCCGATCTAATCCCCGGATAAGGTACCTAAGGTAAGCTTAAACTTCGGACTTTGCAAACAGCTCCTTCAACTTCACTCACTCCCACTCATCCAACATTCCTCATGTTCATGTCCCTTTCTGCGGCTTATGCGAACCACTCTTTCTTGCTTCAATAGCCGCTACGAATGATGTTCGTGACGACATTGGACCCGGCCGTCTACCAACTGAGACACAACTACCGTTACGCTGAGGCATTGAGGCAGTGAGGCTGTGCTGGAGTTGGTGCTCGACGCCTGGTTGCCCTACTTCAACCTGACCAATCTTGAGAGCCCAAGATGAATTTTTACGCGTCCAATCTTCCGCATATGCGTAGATACGCAAGAAAGGTGAAGCGGTATGCTTGACCGAATCTTGCATTTGTGCTACTAATGGCACGTTCGATCGCCCTGTTTCTCGTGCAATGTGCCATTCTTTTTCCATTTAAAGTGATGCTGCTCCCCCTTTGCCAGAATTCCCCTCCACCTCACCTCGCCCAGCCTTGATCTCTTGGTATCATTAGACAGCAACCATCAACAATCCACATCCTACAGCACTCTTAGCATGATCGAGACTACTCCCGAAAATGAATGCCCCATCCTTCCATCAGTTGTGCTCCAGCCTAACACCATGGAGATGACGAAGCCTCTGAAACAGGCATTGGAAGGAGCCATGTGTCGCTCCTTCAGTCTCGATGGTGACTCTTCCAAGGAGTTCCTTCCCGAGCCCGATATCAACCGAATTCTTTCCGAGAAGTCGATACTTGGAGCTCTCCGGACTTCCTGCCCTGGAGCCGACTTCATGCGCCGCATGTATGCCTCCGCAATCGTCAAGGAGAAGAAATACACCAAGATATTTGCCATCCTGGTCTTGATTGGTCGAGCCGATGCCATCGCAGCCTTCAGACAGAATCACCTCGACGATTCGCAACTTCCATTGGCATTTGCTTCCACGTCGGGAGAAGAGACGAGCACATTGGTGCGGTCTACAGTCGCCCGATCTAGCTTCGATCTATCCTTGATGGGACTCAGTTACTACGAGTCGATACTCTTGGAGGAGACACAGTGGAAGTTTCTTGCCCCTGTGTTTGCGCGAGCTGATCTCGTCAGCGAGACTCGCAACTTCCCGGCGTCTTCTATCCTGCCTTTCGTCATGCCTGACTCTCCCCATGGAATCCAAGGGCCTCGCAATGGTTGCAGCAAGAACTCCCGCATATATCAGGCCCACCTTCACGACGGCCATCACGACTTTCCCGTCTCTACAGTCGCAGTCAAGCAGCTTCTCAACGCTGGACCGGAGGAATACGCTCGCGAGGTGGAAGCCCTCAAGACCTTTGGCGGCCCCGATCAACCCCATGTAATTGAGCTGCTTGCCACCTTCAAGCATGGAGATACCTACTACTTGGTGACTCCTTGGGCTGAACACGACCTTCACGGCCTCTTCACCGAACCGCCATCCTCCTTGGCTTGCGACTCAGCCAGCGCGGTGAAGCCTACGAGCATGACCGCGAAGCAAATGCTTGGTGTCGCCGAGGCCTTGAAGGCGATCCACTACTGCCGACTGAAGAAGCGCTCCATCGCGAGAGACCACGAAACGGCTGAAGAAGTCGATGGGGGCTACCACGGCGACATCAAACCTGAAAATATCCTCGTCGAAAATGGGCAGTGGAAGCTGGCTGACTTTGGCCTATCCCAGATCGGCCGCAAGCCAGACTCTTCGCAAGGAGACAGACCTGCAGGCTGTTCACCGGCGTATCGTGCTCCAGAGCATGATGTTGGCAAGTTTGATGGCCAAAAGGCAGACATTTGGTCTCTTGGCTGCGTCATGAGTGTCGCTGCTACGTGGATGACTCTGGGCCGGAAGGGGGTCAAGAAATTCAGCGCCAATCGCCAGACAAAGACCGGTAAACGGCTCGACAACTCCTTTTTCGAGGTTTCCAAAGACCAGGAAAAGGGTACTCGAGTGAAGCTCAAAGCCGCTGTCTCTGACGTGAGTACCCGATGGATGTGTATTCGTATTATGCGTGGGTGCTAATGCAGACTTGAACAGTGGATCAGTCGACTCCATCGGGCCCCGAAAGCGAGTTCCTTCATTCACGACTTGCTTGATTTGATTCAAGACAAGATGCTGGAAGTTGATGGTTCCAAGCGAATAGCTTGCGCTGGTATTGTCTCCAGCCTCGAGAAGATGTACGAAAAGTGTATAGACGACCCAGGCTACACAGAGCCAGCTCCTCGAGGAGAAATGTCAAGTTGGGCATGCAGGCATGAGCTCTCGATTGGGACCGCGCGTCGTGAAGCTCGGTCAATCACTGTCAACGTGGTCGAAGTACCAAGCCCAACACAACGCAGTCAGCCATTCTCGACGCGTGTACCACAGTTCAACTCTTCCTACTCGTCTACCGGCTCCTACAACTCGGAGTATGACGATATGATTGACTTTCCCTTGGCTGCCTCATCGACAGAGCCACTTTTAACTTTTGGGCCTTCCGCCAATACCATGAATCAGTCGAACATTGTATATGGAGGCATGAACCTCACCATCTCACCTGACATGGGTCAACTCGGATCTCCAAACTTGGAAGAATACTCGTTCTCTTTTGGAGACCCCCCAACATCTCGTCCGAGTCTGACTGTTCCTGAAAACACCAAGAATGGGAAGCGGCACTGTAGCACCAGCAACGAGAAATCTGCAGTCAAACGACGTAGGTTGCAGAAGCCGCCAAGAAAGAGCTCTGCAACCACACAGGGAGCGGAAAGCTCTTTTGACTTAGTCTCAGAGTCACCGACAACCAGTCAAGATGTAGAGGGCGCTTTTGCATGCCATTATTTCAAGCATGACCCTGAGAAATACTGCAAGGGGAAGTGGAAGTCGTGTGGAGGAGCCGGTTGGCAAGAATTTCACAGGCTCAAGTAAGCTTTCTCTTCCCCCTTCTGACATGTGTAACGCGTCACGCAGATGGAATAAGATTGCACCGGTTAACATGTTATCATAGGGAACACCTTCGTCGCAACCATCGCGAACCTGGATACAAATGTAGCAGGTGTCAAGTGCGACTGTCATCGACAGAAAAACTCAATAACCACTACAATTCTGAAGTTCAATGCCAAAGGCAACCTGCCATCGTCGATGATAACATGGACGACGCTCAGTGGAGCTCTTGTCAAGGACAGATGCGCGTGATGAATGGAGCCGGCAAGTGGGGGGAGATCTACAAAATCATCTTCGGACCGACATGTCCAGAGGTCATGCCTTCACCCTGTATGTGTCCTTCATATTGCCCAGCTGGAGCTGCCGTAAGGCCAAGCACGAACATACAGCTGACTACTGCTTAGATCGCGACGAACTTGATGAACTTGATAAATTCTGCAAGTTCCTGGACTCACAGAGACAATTTCAGACCTGTGACAGCATTCAGCGGGAGATTGCTATATGTCTAAAGTGGATTCGCGAATTCCAGGACCGACCGTCTCTCACACAGTCGTCTATCAAATCCGAAGTGCCTTCGTTGACCGAGGGCTTGTCCAATATCTCGACACTGTCCACTGATGTCATGGCAACGAGCATTGACCAAGAGCAGATTTACTACGCATATAATCCAACATTCGATTCTAGTTGTCAACAGATTGGAACGATGACGCAAGATCATTCGGTTGTTAACCTTCAATATCTTGGATGTCATTTGAATTTTGGACCTTAAGGTATCTGATGTGAAGGAAAAGCCGGGCTGCTGGCACTGGCACAGCATGTGTCAATCCTCTCATTCCTTGAAAGTTCCTAGATTTCCTTGTTATGATACCCAAATTTTTGTCATCTCTTGTTTGCTTTCATCATGTTGAGGTGTATCGAGATCAGATTTTCTCTTAGAATAGAAAATCGCCATCATCTACGAGGTGAGAGTAATGGCATCTTCCCTAACCCAATGGAACTTCGCTATCTCTATGTGATCTTCAAGCTGCGACTGAGGATGACTTCAGCTCCATCTGAAATGATTTTTCTTATCCTGGTTTGTGATTGTGACAGATTTTTGATCAACGTCAAGCATGCATCGCTGCCGCGTCCGGTTACGTCAACTCTTGGGACGAGATGGTCATCCAAGCAACGATGACACGTGCAAAAACGAGGTCATAACCAAAAGCCCAGACCGATCACGAGCAGGGGAAATCCCAAAGTCATCAATCAATGCCGCTCTAATAAGACTGAACTAACCAGACTAAGTACGCACAATACCAATAACCCAAACACCAGAACTCAGTCGCGTTCCCCGGCCCTATGACACATCACGAACCACAGTAGACTTTATGAAAAGATCTAAACGAAAGCGATGAGGCTTTCAACTAACACCCACACCCACAAGATTTACACCCCTTCCCGCACCCAACATCATCCAAATTTGCACAATCGGAATCTTTATCGCACGTCTGCCAGTCTCCGTACCCTCTATTCCGCGCAGTCCAGCACCACCGCCCGTCTCCGTCGCACGCCTTATAGCAGTAGCCCCCCGAGCAGCCGTAGTCGCCCGGATCGACGTCCCAGCAGTTACCCCAGCCGCCGCCGCCACCGTGCCGCCAGCCCCAGCTCCAGCCCCAGCGATTTACGGTTGTGGAGTTGACTCCTCCGCTCACTTTGTTGTCTGCGGACGCAGGACGGGGTCCGACGGCGTGTTCGGGTCGAGGGGCCAGGCCTAGGGGGTGGTCCTGGCACGTGCGGATCTGTGCGGGATCAACCCCATTGCCACCGGCGGCGGAGGTGTCGAGGGATGCGGCGGTGTATGTCATTACGCCGAGGGATCCGCACCGTTCGGCGGTTGTGGCTGGGGCTACAGCTGCGAGGATGGGGGTGGCGAGGAGGAAGAGGTGGGAGGTCTTCATTATGTGTGAAGGGGTTGAACAAGGATCGGTGGGATAGAGTGAGATGGCTGAAGCGTGTTTCTCAGGATTGAGTTTGCGAGGGATCCGGGTGCGAGGAGTTTGGTGCGAATGTCCCGACTGCGTGGATAGAGTTTAGATTGGCGGGAGTCTCGGGAATTTTGGATGCTTGTTTATGATGATTTGTTGGAAACAGGTTTGTTGACGATGATGACAGGGAGGATGAGGGTGTGGGTGCTGTCACTGTCTTTTCAGATGGGTGAAGAGATGTGATGGATCTGTATTCCCAAGAGTTGAAGCTGGTAAAGAGGGTTGCGCCAAATTCTTATACTTGGGTTTCCTACACCCTTTTTCAAGTCAGTAGTGATCATGTCCGTTGATCTCCGTCCTCGTCCCAAAGTTTTGATCTCGATGAAGCTTGAAATTGCCGTCACCTCCGCTATACTCCGTTGAAAGAGCAAGTTTAACATGCGAACACGGAATCTGCGGGCATCGGACTTGGCGGAGTGATGACTCCTGAGATACCTTTTCGATCTTGCTTTGAAGCCGGACCGAGGCTCGACTTACAAGAAAGTCTTCCGGTACCTTCGGTTTTCTGGAAAAGCCCGCCTCTTTTGTCTGAAAGGATATTCAACATCATTTCGAAGTGCTGATAATGACCGAGTCCGAGCTCATCGACAGCTTGATTACGAGAACACCTACAAAGTCATCGCCAAGCTTGTTCCGAAGTAATCCGAGGCATGTTTTTCACCCAGCCTATGTGATGAGTCCTGATGTCACTCTTCAATCTCTTTCTCCCAGATATTCGAGTTCATCATGCTACAGAGTTCATGAAAACTCCGAGATTCGAGGCGGCGTCACTGGGAAGTCGACTCGACTTGAGCTTGAAGTCCGGCATCCAATATCTTGCATACTTTCCGTGACGTCCCGCCACTTTGACACCAGATGGATATCAAGTAATAGCGGTTACATCCGTCATCGTCTCGATGCTATAGACCGCACATGTGATCTAGATTCTTTTTGATTATCTGCTGCTGCCTGAGATCACTGTATCATAGCATGCCGGCTGCACGACTCAACGCCCACAAAGTTACGAGTGGACAGAGCGCTTTGCTGAGAGGTCAGAGTGTTTTGATGTTTAACCTGGAGGCAGACATATTGTGTCGGGTCGGAATCGTCAACTCAAAATCGAAATCAATTGCATCTACGTTTCAAACTTTGATTCGTAGAAATCGTGACAACAATGACAAAGGTATATCGCAGGCGAATGCCAGTGTTGGAAGATTCTTCGATACATGTGAACTATTGCATACTACATTTTGAAATATGCTTAAAGTCTCCCATTGGAGTGTCAACTATCTTACTGGGCTTTCTAATCAAGCTAGGTTGAGAGCTACAAGGATAACTTATGCTTGTGCTGTTCACAGGGGTGAACCAAGACTACAATGGACCTCTGACCCTACGCTTGTCTCATCATGCGAGCGCTCGATAGTGCATCAGAATTCTCTATCCTCAATTCCCATGAATCCAATTTCAGTCACCTGAACTGCCTTAACAGCATAATGGCTGAGTATGCTTAAGACCTAGGTTTAGTAGATACTGCATCAAAGCTTAGACAATCTGTCACTGCCATGCGCCGCGAGTCTAGGTCGCGCTGAAATGGAGATCCCTTCCAACTTTCCCTCGTTCCTCCATTTACCAATATACTCCAAGAAAGAGACCGTACCTTCAGCCCACACGACTCCCCGTGCCTGCTTGGCCCTCTCTCTAGGGTCGTCTGAGGCCGCTTGACCGTGTCCGTTGAAGTATCCCGGGGTACATCCCGCAAGCGATGAAAAGAACGGGGCCCTCTTCGCAACTTCCAGACTGTGCTGTTCCTCTGCCTCTCGAGTCACCTCGACGATGGCCCTTTGACCAGCACCGACTCGTTTCTCAGCCTCGGAGACGATGTACGTGACATGTCGAGCAATGAGACCCAACATGAACACATTGTTGCCTGTGATGGTACCCTGAGACGTACCAGAGAAGAAGAGGTTGGGAAACTCGTTCGTGAGGTATCCATGCAGTGTGGCAGCGCCGTTGCGACGCCATTTGGCATCCAATGAGATGCCATTACGTCCGAGAAGCTCGATGCCGACTCGTTCTGCTGGACTTCCTCCCGTGCGACCACCGGTGACGGAATAGCCTGTGCTAAAGATGATGATGTCGACGGGATACTCCTCACCGGCGATGACGATGCCTCTCTCTGTGGCATGAGATGGCCCCTTACCGTTGGTGTCGAGGAGATGTACATGCGGATCGTTGAAAGCCTGTAGATACTCATCGCTGAATGTTGGACGTTTACACCAAGAGGGGTACCAGGGCTTCAATCTCTCCGCGGTTCCTTCATCCTTCACGATGCTGCTGACTCGAGCGCGTACACGTTCCATATGTGGCAGGTCCAGGGCATGGAACCAGGTGGCCCTTCGGTCTTGGTCTTCTGGGGAAGGGTTGACGATGCCATGGGCGGGCGAACCCATGACCGCGGAGTAAGCGGGCATATCGGTCCAGCCATCGTTGACCAAGTTGGGCTGGCCTGGCAAGAGGGCGTTGGTCATGTGTCGGTTCAAGTTGATCTGCCTCTCGAATTGCCAACCTCTCTTTCTGGCGACAGTAGCTTTGAAAGTTTCGGGGTCTGTGTCTTGTTGACCGCGTTCTTTGACGTATGCTGGTGTTCGCTGCACCACGTACAACTCCTTTGCGAACTTGGCGAGCGTGGGGATTGCTCCTATGGCCGTTGCGGCCGTGCCGACTATCGCGACCCTCTTGTCTCGCAAGTTGGTGAGTGTTTGATCTTCTTGAGATCCTCCAGTGACATCGTAGTTCCATCTAGACGTGTGGAATATGTCCCCTTTGTAGGAAAGGAGACCGGAAATCTTTGGCACTTGTGGTTTTGTGAGAACACCCGCGGCCAGGTAAACATACTGCGCCTGGATCTCTTGCTTGATCACAGGTTCTCCAGGACCACGTCTCTCAGAGAGACTGATATTCCAGAGTTCCTTCTTATCGTCCCACTGCACACTACGCACGTCAGACCGGAACAGAGTCTTGTCGTCAAGCTTCCATCGCGACGCAATGAGTTCCGCATATCGTCGGATTTCCGCGGCCGGGGCGTACTTCTTGGTCGGGACGTAACCAGTTTCCTCAAGAAGAGGTAGATAGCAATAGCTCTCGAGGTCGCAGTGCAGTCCGGGATACCGATGCCAGTACCAAGTCCCGCCAAAACCGCCAGCCGCATCGACGATTCGTATTTCGTCTGCGGTTGCAACACCAGATTCAATGAGGTTTACCGCGTACAGTAGGCCTCCGAATCCGGCTCCTAGAACGAAAAATCGGGTATGCTTGGTATCGCGGAATGGCGATGGTTTGGCATTCAGTCTTGCGTGATCCGCCCACGGATCATCGAGAAGTGAGTGTAGTCGATCCTCTGAGGCTTCGTTGAGGGGTTGAAATTGTGCAGAGCCTTCTGGTCTCAGCCTCTTCTCTGCTTCCTCGGCATACTTCCTCCTGACAGCCTCAAGCTTTTTGGCGTCAACGTGAGAGACAGTGTCTTGCGGTGCGGGTGCCGACATATTCTGTGTCGCGTTTGAGCTTCTTCAATTGAGTCGAATGGAAGAGGTGATGTGAGACTAGTGGCAGTGACAAACATACGTATAACAACTACTACAAAAATTACACCTGTTCAACCCTTATTCTCGATCAAATTGTCTCTGGCTTTGACTTCATACACTCGCCGCTGTTGCTGGCCCGCGTTTGGATGATAAGGCAAGCCGCACGCCATTACAAGGCCTTCGATACGCCATCGTTCCTCGATCACACAAGCTGCAAGCGTTCGCACGAATACTGGCATCACAAGTCCGACATCGCTTTCCACACAAGTGCATAGATCATTTAGCCTGCAATTTTGACCAATCGGCCAATCTAGTGACATGCCGGATCACTGATTTGGCTGTGTGTGAGTGTTGGTATCCCTTTCACAGGGTAGTTGATTCGAACCGATGAGTTCCGTGGGCGACGGAGATGTTAGAATGACTGTATTGGGTAATTCTGCGTAGTGTGTCAAAGGGACACGAACAAGCGTAGGTCGGATGGGCAGCTGGGATGGAAGTAGGGGCTGTAGGTGGTTGGTCCCTGCGCAGCCGCCCTTCGATGTTGAATTGGACTTCCAATCCGACAGTGAGGTCTTGAAAGTTTCTATCTCAAGAAGAGACTCATGGAGCAGGTTGCAGGCTTATTGCAGGCTTACAACAAAAAACATGCTTGTTTCCACTTTGATATACCACATCACGATGGTTCTTCTTGACTTGGAACCATTTCCTCTTCAATCGTAGCGTATCGGTCTCATTACTCCCGGTGACGTTGGCGGGTCTTTGTTGTTAATCCTACATGATTTCCTCGGAATCTGTGTCTCTCTATGAAAATTTTGTTATATGCGCCTGCCATAGTTCAGGCATGGCAACGGCATAAAACTCCCCAGCTTATCCAAAAGACCGTACTCAACTACAGATATGTCGATCTACGATCAATTACTGTAGACTGTGGCTAATCCTCGATCAGCTGTCAATCGTAATTGTTTCGCCGGCTCTAGGCATCAGTCCCCACTTCTTGGTAGCGCCGACCCTACTCGTTCCATCACTAATTAGGGACCAGCACTTGTGCCCATGAGCCTTGGGACAAAGTCTCCTTTTTCATTGCTGTGAAATTTTCTCCCATCGTCATCGCACAGCTTGAATGTTATGTTGCTTCCTGATCGAGTCTGAATAAGTCAACATCAGAAAGTCTTGTGATGCAACAATGTGTCGCGCCTGCGAGCGGCTCTCTTACGACCCAATCCCGGACGTTCCTTCAGAGAATGAAGGCGACGAAGACGGCGACGAAAGTGAACCTCAACTTCACCACGCACCAATGATACCACTCAGGCGTAGAAAGCTCACTACAATCGAAATAGTAGTAACACCTGCACCGAGCTACGACGGCACTCCGATTTTCGCAGCATATGTAAAACCCACAACCGTTCAGCCAGACGACTGGAACTATTCGTCCCAGCGACAAGCCCCTTTTGGTATGGCGGTCTATGATATCACCCCAACAGCAACCCCAACCCAGGCCGCAAAGCTGGCGCACGCTCTCTCTCGTCACGCCAGGCGTCACAATCGCGAATGGGGACGGGACAGGATAGAGGTCGTTTGCTTCCCTCTCCCGTCCCACCTGACCTGCCAAGAGCGTGCACAAGCATGCATTGATCATCACGGGCACGAAATTCGGAACCGTGCCGTAATGGACGACATTGATGACGCCAAGTTCTGGTTTCTCCCCGAAGACTTTAACAACGAGTGGTATTCCCGCAGCATCATCGTCATCGACCGACTGGAGAACACTTGGGAGGACTCTTTTGGTTATGACGACAGGACGATCCAACACGAAGATGAGAATCCTGGAAGTTCATTTGGCAGTTTTGCAACAGTCCGCTGGCGGCCGCGCGAGGAGACCTGGGAATACTACGAAGATGAGCTTCGTCCGGAGAATCGAGTAATCATGAGAAAGTATGGGTTGGAGAGTATCGGCGACATGCTAGGACTTGACGGGATTGGCAATAGTATCAGGGGCTTCTACGAACACTTCGCGCCTGATGGGGTTTTGGATCGAGAGTTGGCTGTCGCCAGGACCAGGTAGGAATCGCCAACCCATCTACCAACTGACGTACAGAACTGATCGATATGGTTGTAGAAGAGTTGATGCAAGACAGAATCCATTGAAGGAGAAACTGGCGAGAGTGATAAGGCAGGCTTGCTCCATGGACTAGAAGGCTTGCCGTGGTTTTGGGTACATATTCCATCCCAGTTAATACGTGGCATGTTGTTAGAGACTTGGTTCTACAGGTACCTTCATCTTAGAACTACAGTGGTAAATTTGTTCTCAGGACATTAGCCTTGTGATAGATAAACCTGAGATAGGGGTATAGATTGATAAATCAGCAACAAAAAACTCCTACACCGACGCCTGCTGCGGCTAGCCTTCTGGCCACCTTCCCGTAACTCCTGCACAGAATAACAGTCGAAAATATCGCTCGTAGACAAAAAACCATAGCCCCAGCCGCTGACTTCCCTTGCCATGAAAGAAACGCGGTTGCCCCTGTCTCAATAACCAAGACCAACATAATGACGTGGCCCTTATCACCACGCCCTTGAACACCTTGATGTTCCTTCTGTCGTTCTTTGTATGATTCCATGTAACTACTTTTGACTGCAGCATTGTGATAACGCAATGATGCTGTCGCAGATTTCAGGGTCTTCGTTTACAGGTTGGTCAAATGCGGTCGTCCGTCGAGTGCTTGCGATCGCGACTTCAACTTTTGACTGTTGGTGCATCACCAGACTGGTCGAAAGAATCCGTGTCGCACGCGATTCCCAGAATTGATGGAAGATCGAATCATCATCGTAAACAGAGTGTGCTCCTTACAGGCTTTGGTAGTCTGATGTGCGAGGCTTTGAGTTCTCGTTCGAGGTCTTCGAGGTTATGTGGAAGCTGCCGAGCCATTTTCTAGCTTTCTTGGTGCCGACCACTTCCATATTGTCTCGCGTCTTCGAATCGTTACGTCCGCCAAAGCCGTCCTCTGTCTTTTCGGCTGATGCAGCCTTCATCTTTGCTTTTTCGAGAGCACGCTGTCTGTCTGCAGCGAGGGCCGCGTGGAGGGGCCTCTGGTTTCTTGGGTAGACTGGCATGGTTGTGAAGGATGTGAGGTGCCAAGCAAGATTTTATGAACAATGTATAGGAGGTTTGTTAATGCGAATAAGAGCTTTTTCTTGTCTTTGATGGAGAACTGTAACTTCTTGTGAATAGGAACGACATCTGGTTGGAAGGGTGGCTTTGGTATTTATGGAACCGACCTGTACGCCAGATTTGATGTTGAACAGGAACACATGTGAATGATTTCTAATTACTATAAGTTAAGCAAAACAAGTTCCCAAATCCCCCCTAGATCGCCATCTTGTCGCAAAGTGCGAAAGTCCTTTGGCGGCGTCCAATGTAAGCCTCGGACACACCGACCCCGCATACTCCGAAAGTCCGAAGAGCCGGCACAAGAGTCAGTAAGCAAAAAGCCAGCCATATGGTGGCGCTAACTCGGCTCCCACATGCAAAGTCAATTACGGGGTTGGGAGAGGATCTTAAAGTGAACCAACCTTACTGGGTAGGAAGTTGTCAATCTGCTTTCAACACATGCTCAGATCGATAGCAGCGCCAATCAGCATGATGTTACAACCTGTTGCATGCGCTACGCAACGTCATTCTCGCTTGGTGTCGGAATGTTACTTGTTATTAACACAACGTTTGACATCCTTGACGGCATAGGACGATACTTTCCACCAACTCGTTTTCATCACATCTTTAAGCTCCCGCCTTTGGTCATCTACTACCCAGGAAAGAGGCCATCGCCGATAATTGTTCGCCGGCATGTCTATTGAGCGCGCTTTGAACTTGACCAGCATCGCGGAGACGAGATGCCTCTACGATGACTGGGCCGAAAATTACAATCGCGACCTGCTAGGTGCAGACCAAGATTACGTGGCACCAGTCCTTGCCAGCGAGCAGGTCGTCAAGTATGTCGGTCCGTCTGCTATTGCAACGTCAAAAATTCTAGACGCTGGGTGCGGAACAGGCCTTGTCGGAGTCAATCTCGCGAAGTTCGGAGCCACGCAGATAGATGGCGTAGACCTCAGTCAAGGAATGCTCAAGGTCGCCGAGAGATCTGGTGCATACCGGTCTTTGAGCACGACAGACCTCTCCCAGCCTTTGACGCAGGCCTCTGACTACTACGATGTCGTTGTCTGCGCTGGTACGATGACTGAGGGTCATGTAGGGTCCGAAGCTTTTGACGAGTTTGTTAGAATTGTTCGCTCTAGCGGATTCGTTGTCGCAACTGTGTACGAGACTGTGTGGGAGAAGAATGGCTATAAGGAAAAAGTTACGTCTCTTGACAAGCTGGGAAAAGTGAATCTCTTGAGCGCCCAATTGGAAGACTATAGACGTGGAGCGCGTGCGGTCATGGTTATTCTTCAAGTACGGTGATGTTAAGGGATAGTCCGTAAAGGTTCAACGAAAGATCTGATGAGCTCCCTTAGAGGAGTTTACGGCTGTGAGAGATCGGCAGTAACCGTTGCTAAGAAGCATTTCAGTCAGACAAGTCTTCATTACATCATACCTACAGAGATACAGGAACTTGAGAGCAGGTCATCTAGAAGCCCAGACACTATCCCTCGACCCAAGTTGGTCGATTCTGGAAAGTCAAAAGACTTTTAGCTGCCGGAATTTCAAGACTTAAGATTCATTACAGTTTTCCTTCGCTAGCCTTACCCGGCGGAGATGCCAAAGCACAACACCAGAGCAAAGACCATGGGAGAGAACTAGCAGGCTAAGCGTCTTGAGAGTAATCTCACGAGCAGTCGGAAGACGCTCGAGGCAGTGGCTTACCTTTCATTCCGAAGCGTTCTCTGGACAGCGCACATGGCTGCTCCCGAGCCCGCCCCCTCGGCGCCGGGGAAACGGACGATAGAACGCTCGGCTTGGTTACGTCGCCGGCGCCGCTCGAGTAGCTCGAAGCAAAGATACTCAGGTCCCTAATTCGGGTGCCCAATCAACAAATGCACAAGACCCGCCTTGCTAGCTCAATCGGTAGAGCGTGAGACTCTTAATCTCAAGGTTGCGGGTTCGACCCCCGCGTGAGGCTCGAATCCTCACCGCGATTGGCAAAGCCACTCTTCGGGTTCTTTCTTTTCTATTTTATCTCTTTTTGAGATTGAAGATATCCTCTTTCTGGCGACCATCTCTCTTGTTCCCGTATAACATTGGCCGAAAAGGAAACGAAACACACTTTTTAGCAAGTTGATTACATAAAGATAAATTCATAATCCAGAAGAAGACCCAACGCGATCGCAGAAGTGACGAACGTTGTCGCCATCGGGTGCACACTAATACGCGCGAAACTCATATGCATGGTTCATGAACCATCACTGATACGAGCACGCGACAACTGGCCATCCCTCCACAAAGTCGACATGATTCGTGCGTATCGCACAGTCGATGCCTCTTCGACACGGGGGCGGTATTCATTCAAGGTAACAAAAGCAGGATCTTGGTCTGACCTAGATGAAGTCGGCAAGGTAAGCTGACTGTGACCGTAACCATCACCATCTCTCACACGCTTCGCCCCCGTGCAGAACTAATCCGCGGGCAAATACAACTCCCAACACTCTTACAGGGGTTTTGAGAACCTCACAGCCCCCCTCTTCTCTCTCCAGTCTCCATCTCCCCCTCCACACACGTACACACATTAGCGCCCAGCATCGCAAACGACCTAAGCGACCTGGTAAAACAACAATCATCACTAAACCTCAAAAGGTCAGAGCGTAATTATCGACGATCAAGGGTCCAGGCTTCGAAATAAGCGAGACAAACAGTGAAATCTGCCAAAAGGCACGCTAGGATAGCTGGGATAGATGCTGTTGATCATCCCGGGACGCAAATCCTCTAGCATCAACCCCGTCACGATCATCGCCGGCCCGGCCTCCCGAGGATCCCCAAGTTTAAACTAGCGGGTCCTCCCCTCCCTTCTCTAGTGTAGACTCTACCCGGTACCGCGAGCAAGGGGTGGGAGTGAGTGAGTGGGCGGGCGGGGGAGAGAGAGAGATCTGAGCGAGTGGGAAAAATGGAAGGCGGAGGGGTTCAAGGGACCGTGAGGTTCGTTCTCGTTTAATCGGACAGTTTCCGCCCCCAAGGACGGGCGGAAGATAACAGCCGAGCCGGAGGACCTTGAAGTTTGGTCAGTGCAAGCAATGTAAGACACATGGCACCGGGGAATTCCCGTCCAAAGAAGGGAAAAAACTGGAACTCATCATCTCGACACTGTTCGCGTTGGAAAGACGTGTGGTGGAGGATGTGCAACTTTCAAGATGGACAGCTGCGGAAGGTTGAGCCGGACTAACAAAGTCTTGAGGCTCTGTAGAATGCAGGCAAACCTCTCCTCCCCCCTCCTCCCCCCAAGCCCGGGCAACATCACCCATCCTTGACCAGAAAGACTTGGCTTTGGGTGCCAAAAGGGAAGGAGGAAAAGAAGGTTTCCCCATGCTATCCTTGTGTCAAGTATGACACGCATCTGCCTCCGGTTCCCGCAACGACCGTGAGACTTGGCTCACTAGTCAGGGCACCACCATCACACATTGCAGGTGGGGGATCAGTATAGTAAAGTAGGGTGATGCTTACTACCTTCAATCGCTCGCTCGCGGGCCCCTCGTGGTGCTGGAGTGTCACAGTGGTCACGTAGCATCACCGAGCCTCCCATCCCAGCGGCGCCTAGAGAAGACGATACCACGCTCCCCGAGCCCTCCCCTCCCTATCCTCCGTCTGTAAATTCTCCTCCTGTGTACTCCCGGGCTCTCTGGTCCCCAATTCCCTTACAGTCTCAGTAGTAACCCCTCTCCTCCGCCCCAGTCCCCCTCCTACGTACTCTGTAGATCGTGCTACGGGATAGACCTGTCACCGACGTCAAACTCAAGAAACACGCGATGAAGCTGTCCGCCGTGGGATCGGTGCGGACAGGTTCTCTTCAAGACGTAGAGAAAAAGAGGCGCAGCAGCACCACGATTCAAGAGCGCAAGACACACCCGCCCAGTGTAACCAACTACGTAGGATCCCTCTCCACGATCCGTAAACTGTCACTTTGGTCCCTAGTGCAACAACACACGTGTCACCAGCTCTTGTCAGAAGCGCGAGATCACCTTTCTCCCAAGAATCCTCCAAGGGTGAAACCCCAGACTCAAGCCCCCGCCTGCGCCTCTCCTTCTCTCCCAAGGAAGGCCCGGGATGTGAAAGACATCCCGACGATCACATGAGCATGGAAGAACCTCGTTTCCACAGGTGGCGAGGAGTACCTAGACAGGATGATTTGAGTTATCGATGGCGGCTAGGGAAGGGGAAACTTGGGAAGAGGGAAACAGACAAGCCGGCAGAGCGGTCGCCAAGCCGGCATGCTGCCAAGAGAATTGGAACGGAGTCGCTGCCGAGAAAGCTCGTTGTTGATGTTTGCGAAGCTAAGCCTGCCTTGCCAGTGGTGTTGCGATTCTGACGGGTATGGTGTTCTAGATGGGAGTTCGCGGGGGTGGCCTCCAAAGCTGCGATTCATAGAGAGACTCCTTCTTTCCTGTCTCTTTTGCCGGTAGCCAAATCTTCAACGCTGAATCCCATAACCTCACGGAGACCATCCTGAGGCTGTTCGCCAGCTTTCGCAACACCTTACCAACGTTGCCAACCACCTAGACGACTCGAACTGCAAAATTGTGTAGCCCGAAAGGTCGCTGTAACTAGGCATTGGAGATCCCTCGCGATTAGTCCAGAGTTGCTCGCCCCCGGCACTGCAAACGATGAATCCATCCAACTTCTCCAGATATCAATATATTCCTCACGATCCAGTAACGGCCCCAGAGGAAGAAGGAATTGTTCATCATGGCCTGTAGTAGACAGGAACTCGCGAGTACCATGCCTCTGCGAGCCCCTCCGGCTCATTTCTTGCTTCATTTATACATAAAAAAGTGTCCTTTGTGCAAGAAAAAAAAGGTTTCGGGTGCAATTGCACTTTCGTCCTTTTCCCCAAAACTCTCCGTACGACAACATAACCCCCCCTTTTGCAAGCCTGTGGTACAGTAACAACCAAAAAAATGGTAAAAAAACGAATATGATGAACAAGCAGCGATATGCCATATAGACAAAAAAACCAGACCGATTCCAGCCCCAATTCATCCTCTCTGCTGGGTATTGCACCAAAAGGAAAAAAAGGCCCGGCCTCTTCCCCATCCCCTCCTTCCCCTCCTCGCTGTGCCGCGTCCATTACGAAAAACCATCCCTATGCCATAGCCCTCTTCTTTTCGAAGTGTTTGCAAATCTTTTTTTTGTTTTACCCAGGCGCGGTCATCCAGCGAACCGGGCCGTGAACAAAGAGAAAAAAACAAGCAACCGGGAATAAGCTTCTGGCCTACTTCCGTACCTCCACCCTTTCTCGCCTCTTGCTGTTAGGATGATGCAGACATTAAGGTGTTAACGAATGGTTTGAGGGGGCCTGTATGGCTACTCCCGCTCAGAGTTTGTTGAGATCCAAATGATGGGAGGAAAATAGAGAGAAAAAGGAATGATCGGAGCAAAGTAAATCTTTCAATAGAAGAAAGTTGATGAGAGAGAAGTCGAGTGAAGAAGGCGTTTTAAGCCCCTTGCGTCAACACATTATCGTACATCGGAGTTCTTTCCTTGAATCCGGCTTGCTGTCATGGGGCCATCATGACAAAGACCCATTTGTAGGAGTTCGACATAGTATGCATGGCTTCATTTCCGTGACGTTCGTAAACAGTCATGATTTGTTGCCTAGTGTTTGTTTTGATGTAATGAAACATCATGAAGTGGTTGTTATGCAGCTTTTGGGGACCCCTATGGATAGGGCTCCGATCTACCGGCCTGCCCCGTGCTATGCAAGATTGAGCCGCTTCAAGAAGAGAGCATGGGGTTCGATTTTGAACCCCTGCCTCTCTCTCTAGATGATGTTTGCGATGCTCAACCTGTCCTGGGGCCGGCCCTTGGTGCTCGTTGTTGGGCTGTTGGTGCTGCTGCCTTCGCCGGGGCCAGGGATTATGCTCGGTAACGTCGGCGTGCCTTCGGTCTTGATTCCGGCCGGTAGAGCAGATGTCCAAGTCGCGGATGTCGGCGTGGGCGTAGTGTTGCCAGAGGCCAGCCCTCGCAAGGCTGCCTCAAGGCGCTCCCACCCTCCCCACTCCTTGACTTCCTCCTCGCTCAAGCCAGTTCTTTGCTCAGCGCTGAAGAGCCCGCTGCTGGCACCGCCAGAAGCTGTGATCGATCCGGGGGAGGTCGGGGAGAGGATGGCCTCGCGCTCGCCGCCGGCCCAGACCCAAGCCGAGTCTGGCGCCGCCTGCAGATCGGCGCTGACATATGCCAGGAGCTCCTCATCCTGCATCAGAGCCTCCTGCAGCGGGGTAGGTCCGGAACGGCCATGGGGTGGAGGAGGTGGGGCA